TTCCAATACTATGTTGAATAGGAGTGGTGAGAGAGGGCATCCTTGTCTTGTGCTACTTTTCAAAGGGAAGAGCATTATTTTGTTTATAGCTGAGCTGACTTAGTCTTAACCTCCATCCCATGTGAAAGCAGAAAATGTTTGACCTTCTGCAGGTCCTGCTGAGGATGCTTTGGAAGACCTGCAGAGGGTAAAGAATTGCTCTGGGTGCTGCTGGTCACCTGGAGCTCCAGGCGGATGCTCCAAGGCCACATGTACCCCATTCCTGACCTTCTCTCAGCCTCTTTTCTGGACTCTTACAAGTCTTCATTGGTCTGCTTTGCCCCAGGCATTGGTACAGGCCCTTCTTTCGGTTCTGCAAGCACCATTCATACAAGGATGGCACATGTCATCGTGGAGTCCCATGGCCGGGTGAAACCACAGGGCAATTAAAACAGAAAAGTGAAGCAACACTAAGGCCAAATCATACTCTTCCAGGTCCACTGCTGTTCCTTTTTGGAAGGGCGTCCTGTGGGTCATCTCCCCACCAGCCCGTGGGCTGCAGGATCGCTGGAGCCCGTTTTCCTCCTGAGTCAGCAATCCTTTGAGAATATTCTCTCATCAGAACCCAGGGCACTCCTACTACATTTTGGAGCCCCACAAAAGGAAGCAAAGAGGAAATGAGGAGGATACTAGGGTCTGAGGAGATGCTCCCCCCTTTGAGGAAGAGAGCTTTGACATCCTTGCTGTACTGCAAGTGTGATTCAGGGACCAGCAGCTGCAGCAACACAGAGGAACTTGTTAGAAATGCTAATTCTTGGGGCACAGCCCAGGCATACTAATTTAGAATTTGGATACTAATAATAACCCAAGGTGATTAGTGTGCACCAGAAAGCCTGAGAAGCACTGCCTCTTAGGCTAAGCGGAAGAGCAACCTCTGTAGGAGGTTTCTGCCTTTAGATTTCCTCTGTCTCCAGTTCCCTGGGTTGAGATCCACCCTGCCTCTGCATAATGTGGCTTCAAGTCAGGCTCTCCCAGGACACACTGAGGGCCTTTGTCCAAGGGCAGAGTTCAGCATCTCCTCCAGAATAAGAACAGGTGCCGTGGATTTTAAAATAGTACGTAGGCCGGGCCCAGTGGCTCATGCCTGTAATCCCAGCACTTTGGGAGGTCAAGGCAGGTGGATCACCTGAGTTGAGGGGTTCAAGACCAGCCTAGACAATATGGCGAAACCCCATCTCTAATAAAAATACAAAAAAATTAGCCAGGCATGATGGTACATGCCTGTAGTCCCAGCTACTCAGGAGGCTGAGGCAGGATAATCACCTGAACTCAGGAGGCAGAGGTTGCAGTCGACTGAGATCCTACCACTGTACTCCAGGGTGGGTAACAGAGCAAGACCCCATCTCGACAGGTGCAAAGTGAGGCATATGCAAACAAGACTCCATCTGCCGGGGCAGCTTTCCTGAGCCTGGGGGACTGGTTCATCATGGATCCTAGGCTTCTGTTGATTCTCGCTGCCTATATCTGTAATGAAGCTGGTTTGCGTGGCTTGCATAGTATTGTGTCACATCAAAAGGGGCCTCAAAAACACCCTTCCCTGGCTTTTATATCCCAGAAGTCACTTGGATGACCGAAAACAAGTTTTAGGAGGAATGAAGACAAAGCTCAGGTTGTTCCTGATATTTCCTCCTTGTCTCAGGGCACTGCATTCTTAGCACATTGTACAGTTACTCTAAGAGCTAAGAGTGGGAGGAAGGAGAGTGGGGCTGGCCGAGGCCATCTGGGGATTGCTGTCCTGTACTCTGCATCCCCCATGGCCTCTTGATCCTGCTAAATCCTGCCTCCTTTCCCCATACCTCTCAGTAGGTATGGGAAATTCCCTAGGCAGAACATGTGCTGGCTGATGAATATCTTGACATTGCCATGGCTGACTGTCTCTTCTCTTTGTATAGCTTCCATCTCTGATGATGTTGGAAAAAAATCTCTGTCCCTTTTTTTTTTTTTTTTTTTTTTTTTTTTTTTTTTTTTTTTTTTTTTTGAGACAAGGTCTTACTCTGTAGCCCAAGCTGGAGTGCAGTGGTGCAATCTCACCTCATTTGCAGCTTCAACATCCTGGGCTCAAGTGATCCTCCCACCTCAGCCTCCCAAGTAGTTGGGATTACAGGTGCACACCACCGTGCCCAGCTAATTTTTGTAATTTTTTGCAGAGACATGGTTTCACCATGTTGCCCAGGCTGGTCTCAAACACCTGGGCTCAATTGATTCACCCACCTTGGCCTCTCAAAGTGCTGGGACTACAGGCATAGGCCACCTTGCCTGGCCTCTGCCCCTTCTTTTATCCTTAGTTTTCTTACCAAGTTTTGGTCTGTGTCAACCTCCAGGACGCGGAGTTAGGAAGGAGGAAAAAAGTTTCCAACGTCTAATCATGTGATTTGCCCATGTACCTCCAGCTGTTAAATGCGGGAGCTGTTGGAGGTTAGGAAAGACCAATCCGATGCCAAATCCAGACTGTTAAATGCTGGAGCTGTTGGAGCTTTGGAAAACCAATCCAATGCCAAATCCAGACTCTCACTACTATCCCCTGCTCCTTCTTTAAAAATGAAGGAAGGATCGAGACCATCCTGGCTAACACAATGAAACCCCGTCTCCACTAAAAATACAAAAAAATTAGCCGGGCGTGGTGGCGGCGCCTGTAGTCCCAGCTACTCGGGAGGCTGAGGCAGGAGAATGGCGGGAACCCGGGAGGCGGAGCTTGCAGTGAGCCGAGATCGCGCCACTGCACTCCAGCCTGGGCGACAGAGCGAGACTCCGCCTCAAAAAAAAAAAAAAAAAAAAAAAAAAAAAAAAAAAATGAAGGAAGGCATTTCCATTCTTGAACACAGGAGAGAAAATGACAATTTCACAGGCTTTAGGGTTGATGCCTTTTTAAGGCTTTGGTTGTCTGTGGATCTGTGTAGGGAAAGATTTTCTTTACTGATTGGGGTCTCAGCTGAATGGGAACTTTGTCCACATCGGTCACCACTCTCTCCTTTTGACTGTGGATGGGCACGATCCTCTGACTTAAAATGGACCCAGGGAGTCAGCCCATGGTGAGCTTGAAAGTTCACTCTGGCTTTTGGGAGGTCAGGGCCAGGGGCTCCAGGGCTCTATTTCTTTTCCTTTTTTTTTTTTTAGATGGAGTCTCATTCTGTTGCCCAGGCTGGAGTGCATTGGCATGATCTCAGTTCACTGCAATCTCTACCTCCCTGATTCAAGCAATTCTCCTGCCTCAGCCTCCTGAGTAGCTGGGATTACAGGCGACTGTCACCACACCCGGCTAATTTTTGTATTTTTGGTAGAGACGGAGTTTCACCATATTGGCCAGGCTGATCTCAAACTTTTGACCTCAGGTGATCCACGCACCTCAGCCTCTCAAAGAGCTGGAATTACAGGCTTGAGCCAGCAGGCCTGGCCTCCAGGAGACTATTTCTAAAGGTCAGGGAATCTGGTGGAATGCAGGAGTGGAGATGGCAGAGGTAGTGGATGGCACTGGCCTTTGGGACCTATGTGAGTGTGGCTGTAGTGCCTGTCTCAAAAGTGAAGAGACTGAAGATTCACATCAAAGGCGCCTGGGACCTGGGATAAGCAGATGATCAGTCCAAGGAACAGTGACTCTCGTTGTCCCTAGATTGGAGTCACCTTGGTACATACAGAGTCTACAGAGTCAATCAGACACTGGAATTCTGCAAGCGTGATCATTGTGATGCTGTTTGTGGTTTTCACAACTGTTGCCTTTGTGGTGCCACAGTTGATTCCTAAATGCTGACTTGGTGCGGTGGGCTAAGGAGCACCCTAGGAAATGGGTTGTGTCCACACATGGGCTGGGACTGCAGATAGGGAAGAGTGCGCTTCTGGGGCATAACCAGAGGGACCAGCAGGAGCCCAAGCACAAGAATGCCCACCTGCATGGGAAGGTGAAGCAGAGAGAAACCAATGCTGGTTCCTTCCAGAGAGGCAGGGGCCATCCAAAGAGTGTCACCCACCAGGGCTTCTTTTGCACCATGGCTTTGCCACATCTACTTGCTGGATGACTTTAGGGCCATTACTTTACCTCTCTGAACCTCTTTTGTCAACCATAGCTCCTTTAAGAATTCTTAGGAGGCTGGGCTCAGTGGCTTACGCCTATAATTCTAGCACTTTGGGAGGCTGAGGTAGGTGGATCACCTGAGGTCAAGAGTTTGAGACCAGCCTGGCCAACATGGTGAAAGCTTGTCTCTACTAAAAATACAAAAATTAGCCCAGTGTGGTGGTGGGTGCCTATAATCCCAGCAACTCGGGAGGCTGAGGCAGGAGAATTGCTTGAACCCAGGAGGCAGAGGTTGGAGTGAGCTGAGATTGCATGATTGCACTCCAGCCTGGGCAACAGAGCAAAAACTCCATCTCAAAAAAAAAAAACAATTCTTAGGAAGAAGAAATAGACACTGACTGACACCAGCAGATCCAGAGAACCCTGAGAAGGCCCCACCTTCTCTGTGGAAGGCCGGAGGACTCTGATCTCTATTAGAAAAAGATGGAGTCAATAGCCTGTTTTTGCCTGACACCCATGTTGCTCTCTGGCTGGGTTTGTGCTGGCCTGGTTTGGTGGCTGCTGGGGGAGATACTGGCTGCAGATTTGAAGCAGGAGTTGAAAATTTCCTTCAGCACAACCAGACCTTTGGTGGTGTCCCTGTGTGGATAAGAGGCGCCTGCAGAGGGTTTGGCAAGAGCAGGGAGAACTCCTGACTCTGTTTTGAGTGCTGCTGAGTCATCCCTTCCTCCCCGGTGTTGAGTGGTGTTGAGTCTGTTCTCCCTCCGGGAAAGAGTGGCTGCTATAGCTTGCCATCCCTGGCTTCCATTTCAGAACTGCTGCACGCTGCATGCTGCATCTCAGATTTCTGGCAAACCAGCCCAGCCCCCATCCCTTACTGCCTAGACAACCTCACACATGTCCTAATTGCTCTGAGCCTCGGTGCCTTTCCTGTGTGTGAAATGAGACAGAAATATCCTGCTCACTCTGTCGTTCATTTATTCCTTCAGCTAGTCCATCCATTTTTAAAAACATTAATCATCTCCTATTAGGGCAATTACTCTGCTGGATTCTGAGGTTCTAATGCTCTGGTCATTTTACAAATGTGTCCACAAATGTCTGATACCACTTCCTTGAAGAGATAGAGCTTAATTACCTCCCCTTGCATTGGACTGGACTTAGTGACTTCCTTCTAAGGCAGAAGGGGTGGGGTATCATTTCTGAGACTGGGTTATAAAAAGACTGCTGCTTCTGCTGTGGGTTCTCTCTCTCTGTCTCTCACTCTGTCTGTCTTTCTCTTTTCCCCTCTCTTTTGTGCTTTCTCTCTTTTTTCTCTCTCTTGGTCCTGGACATTAAACAATCATCTGTGTCTCTGTCTCTGTCTCTCTGTCTCTATCTCTCTCTCTGCCTTTCTCTTTTTTTCTCTCTCTCTTTTGTGCTTTCTCTCTATACCCTCTCTCTCAGTCCTGAACACCAAACAAATAAACCTCTGTCTCTCTCTCTCTCTTTCTCTCTCTCTCTCTCTCTTCCTCTCTCTCTCTCTCTTTCTAAGTCACATTTGAGCAGCCCTGTGAGTAGCCCACATGGTGAGGAACTGAGACCTTCTACCAACAGCATCATGAGTGAGCCTTCTGGGATTGCCCTGGCCAACAGCTTGACAGCAAGCTCAAGAGAGACCTCGAGCTGGAACCACCCAGCTTAGCCCCTCCTGGATTCCTGACCCTCAGGAACTCCGTGAGATAATCATGGGCGACTGGCTCTGCAGCAGTGGATGACTAACACATTCCACAGCTCCCATCCTCTTGACTCTCAGGAATCATGGGAAGCGGGTAAGGAGGGAAATTTGAGGGTGACGTAAGAAAACCAGTCAATCTCATAATACAATCTGTGCCACATGGCTGATGCCTTACTACCTTCCTCCACCTTCCTTGTACTTAAGTAGATCTGCCTCTTCTTCCCTCATCCCCGGTGGCCCAGTGACATAGATGATGGTCATCATAGCTGCTCTGTTCTTTATGCTTAAGAGCCCATGGAATCCACATGAACACCCACTGAGGCGGGTCCTATCACTCCCTCAACTCTAGATATGAGGAAACAGAAGTGCAGAGAGGTGAAGCTCATTCCCAAGGCCTCACTGCCACTGTTGGTAAGTGCCAAGCTGAGCCAGGATTCTGAACCAGGCAGGTTGGCTTCGACGTCCACCCTAGTTCCTTCTCTGCAAACACAGCTCCACTCCCAGGTGACCTGGGCCCAGCCTGGACATGAAGACACAGTGATCTCAGAGATAAGGAGATACCCTCTGAGATTGCCCAACTGGGGAAGGTGGAGGCCTCGTGACACCTCTGGCTGTTCTCTGTGCCAGCCCTGGAAGGAGCCTGGGTTTTGCATCAGAAATAATGGGCTTGCATCCTGGTGGTGTGGATGATCAATTGTGCTTCTCTCCTCGCCAGGACACAGATAGCCTTCTGATTTTAGGGTTGAGGGGTTGTGCATGCTGCGTTTTACCTGTGGCTCTGTCTTTATCAGAGGCCTCTGGTAACTAACATTTTGAGCTGGGATTTTGACAAAGGTGCCTCCTTGGCACCTGTACTTAGCTACCCTCACATGGAGCATAGCACCCAAATAACCCCCTTGACTTCCTCGCTTGCTCTTTTGCTCCTCATCCTGCTCCTCACAGTTATTCAGCAAGCAGGACGTCAGTGGGTGGTGCCTCTTCTCCTGGCTCAGCCTCCACCTTCCCTTGAGGCCCCCAGCGTGGGGCTGGGTCTCCCCCTCCACATCCCTACTCCCCACCTCTGCTGCCCATGTGGGTCCCAGCCTATCTGGCTGCACCCTTAGTGACCTCTGAGCTGGTCCTCACTTCCACCCTCATCCCACCAGACTGTTTTCTACGTGGCCACCAGGATATCCTTAAGAATATGAGTCCTTCAGGTCACTGGCCAGTTTGAAGCACCCCTACTGGCCTCCCAGTGCCCTGAGGCCCAACCCCATCATCCCCTGGTCCAGAAGACCCCCCTTTCTGGACTGGCACCACCAATCTCTGCAGCTGGGATGCCTAGGAGCAAAGTCCCCTAGAGCCGGCTCTCCCTGCAGAGCTCATCTTTGGCCAGGGGAGGGAGGGAGAGGAGCTCTGGGAAAACCTGCATTAGAAAAGCCTCTTTGCTACTCCCAGGTTGGCTACTCCTGGCACAGCTTGCAACTTCCTGGACAAAACCGTGTGAGTCAGCTCCTCTGCAGTGAACAAGGCTACCTCACAGAATGTTCTGTCTCAGGCTTCAGTTTGATGCAATCATGGATAAGTCAATCTTTTGTTATGCTCTCGGCCCTCACATTATGTAGCAGGAAGCCTCCCAGGGTCTTTCCTCATGGCACTGACCCTCCTCTGACCCAAGCTCCACTCCCACTGCCAGTGCAGTGCCTGACCTTTCCCGCTCTCCCCGGGATTTCCCGCATCTCTGCAGGGAAGGCTGTTGGCTTCTGGCCATCAGAGCAGCTGCTTCTCAATCATCCCTGTTCCCTACAGGTAGAATTGTCCGATTTCACAAACAAAAACACCTCACAATTCATAGGGCATGGGTACTTGTGCTAAAAAGTTACTCATTATCTGGAATTCCGTTAAAAAGTTAACTCATTATCTGGAATTCCGACTTCCTGGGTGTATATGGTCAGCACTTCCCCGCCTGTAGGGCATGCCAGCTCTTGTGTGTGGTAGGGGGTCCCAGGCTCAAGGACTTACAGAGTCCTAGGCAGCAGCTGAAGACTTGTAGAGTCTGAGACGTCAACGTGGGGATGAGCATGGGGAGCTCGCCTGGGCGTGTGTGCTTGTTACCTGGTGAGTGCTCTGCAGTGATTGGAGGAATGGATACTTACATAACTAAGAGCCTCTGGGCCTGTTCTAGGAGGAGTCTGAGGACCACCCTCAGGCATGAAAGCTAGGTGGGTGGCACCGCAGGGAGCTGGGGGAGTAGGGGAGTTATTGGGGCCTGAGCGCCCAGGTCATAGTGCACTGAACAGGACAGTCCTGCCCTTTCTTGTACTGTAGGTGGCAAAGCACCAAAAATCTGTGTGCATTTGAATCCCAAGGGGGAGCTTAAAGACTCTGCGTCAAATATTCTGACTTGTCCTGATTTATCTGATCAGGGCCAGGAATACGTATTTTTAACAAGTTCCTCAAGTAACGTTAATCAGAGTTTGAGAAACACTGCTATAGGGAGGTCGCAGGTCATAGCTTTTTTTTTTTTTTTTTGCCTGGTCTCCCCTGAGCCTTCAACAACCCTGTAAGCCAGGCCTCGTTACATTCATTCCCCCTGCGTGGCCCGAGAGGCGGTCACATTGTGTCCGCTTGCAATCACCCAGCTTAGGATACCAGGCAGCAGAGACTCCACCCACGCTCCACCCTCAGAGCCTTGAACCCTAACATTTGTGATGTATCAAGATAAGGATCATTTACCTTGATTATCCTGATCAAATCCACACACTTCAGAATAGCTCCTCTGGGAGAGGCTGGGAGAGAAACAGAGGCTTCTACTTAGTGGAGACACCGCTCTGGGTTCCTGACTCAGGTTCTTCCTCTGTCCATTGGAGACAACAGGGACCACCTCAGTGGGGCACTGAGAGGGTTAAACGGGGTCACGCAGGGAAAGTGCCTGCCCTCTCCCCACCCCAGCAGGCAATGGGTGCTCAGATCAGTACAACCAGAGGCTGTAGCTGAGTTAGCCACCCAGAATCCACAGTGCTCCAGGAGGCTGTGTGTGTGTGTGTGTGTGTGTGTGCGCGCACGCACGCACTCACGCATGTGCACAGATGTGTGAGTAGAGACCCAGACGTGTGCAGGAGCAGCTGGTTAACTGTACTCTGCATGTCCGTGTAAAAAGTCACCATCAGGAAGGGCGTATGGATGCCCACACTAGGTTCTCCTGGGAGTCAAAAGTGTCTTGTGTCTTGTGTCTGGTTCCTGTGTCTGTTGTCCCCTTAGAGCCCCTTACTCCCACCAAGGTGGTCTTGGAGAAGGGTGGCAGAGAAGGATCAGTACTGTGGACCTGCAATCCATTTTACTTCTCTGTTTTGTTCTTCATTCTCTTTCATTATGTCATCTTGCCACATTACAATGTCTCCTCTACAAGGGCACGGATTTTTGTTTTCTTCATTTTTCTTCAGCACTTGGAACAGTGCCAGGCACACAGTGGGCATTCAGTGAATATCTGTGGACAGATGAATTGTTGTCATCATAGTTTGTAGTTCTGTTTATTTGTTTACCTGGTTATTAGTGGGGCCAATGTCTGCCAGGAAGTGTCTAAGGAAGCTGGAGAGGACTGGAGATGTCACCTGCTTCCTGTCCCCCAGCCCTTTCCCCAGGTGCCTCTCAGTTCACCTCTGCATTAACTCAGCTGAGGGGCACAAAGGGCTAAGGCGAGTGCCAGACATACAGGACACAGCCTCCAAGTGCTGCCTGTTATTATTACTGAGTCTGGGCACCCTACTCAGTGTCCTTGTGGCCAAGAAAAGGATGGGCCTCCCACCCCACCTTCTCCTTCTCTCCCCAGCTGCTGCCACAGGCACCATCCCTCAATTCCGTGCACAGCACTCCCCTTTTCCCACTTCTGAGACTCACGGTGTCTACACCTGATTGTCCCTCAGAACTCAGCTTCAATGGCACCACCTCAAGGAGACCCTCAGGGCCCTGGCTGTGGAAGGTCCTCCCGATTATCTCTCTTATGCCCCGTTCTCTTCTTTAACTGGTCTCCTGCTTCTGCCTTTGCAATTCCCAACCCCACTTATGTGCCCTGCTGCATAATGTGAGGGCCGGGAGCATAACAAAGGATTGACTTATCCATGATCACATCAAACTGAGGCCTGAGACAGAACATTCTGTGGGGTCGCCTTGCTCACTGCAGAGGAGCTGACTCACACGGTTCTGTCCCTCACCCTTCTGTCTGCACATAAGTAGATGCCTCCACGCAGCCCTCCCAGGATGCTCACCTCTATCCCCAGCTGCTTCTCCAACACCCACCAGGCCCTCCCACGGAATGAGCTCACCAACAGGGAAAAATCACCTACAGGTAAAAGAAAAAATGTTTTTCTCTTTGAAACATTTTCTTACAAAAAGGGGGTGCAGCAAACCACCGTGGTACATGTATACCTACGTAACAAATCTGCACATTCTGCACATACACCCCAGAACTTAAAGTATCATTTAAAAAGCTATTTTAAAGCAGTTTTGGATTTACAGAAAAGTTATACAAACAATACAGAGAGGTCCCATATACGCTCTCCCTGCTTCCACTAATGCAAATATGTACATCTCACGTGACCACAGCATGTTCCTCAGAACTGGGAAGTGGACATTGATACAGCCTGGACTTACTTGGGTTTCACCAGGTCTCCCACTAATGTCCTTTTCTGTCCCAGGATTCTACATTGCATTTAGTCATCGTGTCTGCTTAGTTTCCTCCGGCCAATGACGATTTCCCAGGGTTTCCATCCTTTCATGACCTCGACACTTTTAAGTAGGAGTAGTGGGGTATTTTGCCAAATGTCCCTGAACTTGGGATTGGCTGTCATTTTCTCGTGATTGGACTGAAGTTCTGGGTTTGGAGGAAGATCCCACCAGCGAGGCAGCCTGCTCATGACGCCATATCGAAGAGAACGAGATGTCAGCACTGCTTACAGCCGGCGATGCCAACCTTGATCCCTTGGCCAAGGTGGTGTCTGCCAGGTCTTTTGGCTGAGATGTTGCCATGTTCCACTTTCTGTGCTTCATATAGATGACAGTCTCATTCCACAGTACTTGTCATCAAGTGACATGTTACTTTTCTCTTTTGTTCTTCATTCTTTTTCATTATGTCATCTTCCACATTACAATGTCTCCTCTACAAGGGCACGGATTTTTGTTTTCTTCATTTTTCTTCAGCACTTGGAACAGTGCCAGGCACACAGTGGACATTCAGTGAATATCTGTGGACAGATGAATTGTTGTCATCACAGTTTATAGTTCTGTTTATTTGTTTACCTGGTTATTACCGGGGCCCGTGACTGCTGGGCTTACTCTTATCATTATGCTTGCACTAGCTCCATGCCTGGATTCCTACTAGGTATCCCAGGAATAGCCTTTGGATGGATGAGCTAAGTAAGCCCCACAGTCAAGGGTAGGCTGGGCATGGCTGCTCATTGTGGTGGGAAGTTCTTTCCCTGAAGACCAAGGTCATTTTTTAAAAAATTCTGGGTCTCTGCTGGGAGAGGTGGGAGAAGGAGTCCCGGGCCCTAACCTTGTATTACTTCTCTGCATTCTGATTACAGCTCAGAAGAGGAGGTTTTAGAATCCATGTGGCTAGAGAGGAAAATAATGGTGGGTTTTCTTAAAACAAGAATGATCTCGGCGGCTGGGCGCGGTGGCTCACGCCTGTAATCCCAGCACTTTGGGAGGCCGAGACGGGCAGATCACGAGGCCAGGAGATCTAGACCATCCTGGCTAACACGATGAAACCCCATCTATAATGAAAAATACAAAAAAAAATTAGCTGGGCGTGGTGGCAGGCTCCTGTAGTCCCAGCTACTCGGGAGGCTGAGGCAGGAGAATGGTGTGAACCCGGGAGGCGGAGCTTGCAGTGAGCCAAGATCATGCCACGGCACTCCAGCCTAGGCGATAGAGCAAGACTCTGTCTCCAAAAAAAAAAAAAAAACAAAAGAATGATCTTGGCAAAAGCTGCAAAGACTCAAAGGGCAAACAGGGGCTGAGTGTGGCCTCTGCTGTAAGTCATTCATGCATTCCATGCATTGAAGCACTGTGCTGGGGGTCATTGCAGCCTGTTTAACTCAGTATTATTTTTCTTCTTTTTCTTTTTTGCCGGCTGTTCAACTGAATTGTCACACGTTCCTTCATTTCAACAATACACAGAATGATAGAGCAGTTCAGAGAAAGATCGACAGAAAGAGAGAAAGAATGAACTTCTGAGAGGTCAGGACATTTTTTGCACAAAGGAGGACACCGAGCTGGCTTTGAAGCATGAAAAGGACCTTCCCAGACAGTGGATGTGGGAACAGATGTGGAACTTGCAGGCAGAGAGACCAGCTGGAGACGAGTGTGATGTGATGAGCCGTGGAGTGTAGGGGATGTCACGGGACATCAGTCTGGATGGATGGCTGTTCCCGGGGTGTCCACTAGGAACCAGACATGGCACTAGTGCAACTGTAATGATAGTGAACCTGGCTGAGTTGCATCCTCCCAAAATTCATACACTGAAGTCCTAACCCTCAATATTTCAAAATGTGACTGTACTTGGGGATAGAGTCTTTAAAGAGGTTATTAAGTTAGAATGAGGTCATTGGGAGCCCTAATCCTATAGGACAGGTGCAGATGGGGAGAGAAGAGGAAGTTAGAACCAGGCACATGAGAGGAGGACCATGTGAGGACATAGGGAGAGGACAGCCACCTGCAAACCAAGGGGAGAGCCTCAGGGAAACCAGCCTTGCACATGCCTTGATCTTAGATTCAAGCTCTAGAATCAAGCTTGAATCAATTTCAGCAATGCTAGCAAATCAATTTCAGCAAATCCATTGCAGCTGCCCAGACGAGAACACTTCGTTTTGGCAGCCCCATCAAATTAATACAGTGGCTGTGAATGAGGGTCCTGAGGGGAATAGTCAGGCCTATACATGCAGGAGTCCTGCAGACTGTGACCTGATTTTACCCTGTAGGTGAGCTCATTCCATGGGAGGGCCTGGTGGGTGTTGGAGAAGCAGCTGTGGATAGAGGTGAGCATCTTGGGAGGGCTGCGTGGAGACATCTACTCGTGTGTATAAAGGAGGGTGAGGGACAGAAAGGGCCCAGTGGACACTTGGAGTGTGGCATGGATGACCAAACTACCCTGAAGTTGGCATGAAAGAGATCAGACAAAATATTGGCCTCCCGTTCAGGATTTCTGTCACTGAACCACTGGCACAGCCACCTCCCTCCTCCTTATCTCCTCCACATGCCCCGTGCAGGCCCAGACCGAAGTTCCGTGGGGTCCCCTACACTCCACGGCTCACCACATCATGCTCATCTCCGGCCGGTCCCTCTGCCTGGAGGTCTCACTCCTTTCCCACATCTGCTAGGTGAAGTCCTTCTCATGCTCCAAAGCCCCTTGTCCACGAAAACTTGACTCCTCAGAGGTTCATGCTCTCTCTCTGTCCATCTCTATCTGAGCTGCTCTACCATTTTGTGCACCCAGGCTCATGTGACAATTGAGTTAAACAGCCTGCGATGACCCCCAGCACAGTGCTTCAATGTGTGACACGCAGCAGAGACCACAGTGAGCCCACCCCTGACCCCTCACACAGAAGCTGCTTTGTGACTGTTTGCTGAGTAAAGTTTGGACAGTGCTGGACCTTGGCCTTCTGTGTGAGACACAGACAGGGCTTCCCTGTGACCTTGGACAGGCTGGGTAAACCTCAAGAGAATTATTTGCCAAGACAGGCAAGGCATGATGCAAAGGAAAGCACATAGGAGTGGATGACCCTACAAAGGGGCCCCGTCCTAAAGAGCCACCCTGAGCCCACAGCACAATTGCAGAGAAATGTCTGAATCTGGTTGCAGCCATCTGCCCTGCCACCAGCCCGCACATGGGCCATCTGGGCTCTCAGACCCTGGGCCCTCACTGTCACCAGCTGTGGGACCCTGGGAAAGCACTTATGTCCTTGTCTGTAAAACGGGAACAATAACAGACCTTGCTGGGTTGTTAAGGGATGGGTGATATCACAAGGGCAAAGCATCTGGCGTGGGCTGGTGCATGGTGGGGGCTCAATACTTTGGGGAATGGACAAGGCTTGGGGTCCTGACCTTGTTACCTCTAGTGGGCACTCATCTCTGATACAGTCCAGACTCTAGAATCAGAGGGTGGGGCACAGCCTCATGGAAGCATGCTTAGAACATGCAGGGTGGGGTGGGCAGGCACACAGAGAGTCAGACGTGGATGCAGCGAAGGACTCACTCACCCATTTATTCCGTTATTGAGTGTCTGATCCTCTTCATTTGACAGATGAGGAAACACATCGTGCTTGGTGAAGGTAGGCAGGGAACTTACCTGGCTACTGGGTAGCCGGTGCCAGAGATGCCGCTGAATGAAGCTTCTGCTCCTGTCATCTCTCTTCCACAGCACAGAGTACAGGACTGAGTATAGGGCTCTGGGCCACAGTCTCCCCACCAAATTCTGGCTGCACCACTTAGGAGATATGTGACTGGGTAAGCCACCTAACCACTTCAAGCCTTGCCTTTCCCATCTGTGAAATGGGGATAACAGTGGTGCCTTTCTTCATAGGAGTCTTATGAGGGGTAAATGCGACCATCCAGGTGAAGGGCCTGGAGCATGGTAAGCAATCAATGTCACCATTCCCAGAGCTGCCTCTATAAAGACAGTTATAACCAGTGTTTGCAAAATGCTTTATTGTTAATGCCAACATAAAATTCAAAAAGTTAGTCATTGGCACCTGCAATTGATACTCTACTATTCGCAACAGGCTTCCCTTCTTCCACTCCCAGCCAGGCCCATAAGATTATAACTATATCCACAAGACGATATAATCAATCATTAAATGGGCCATTTCCACCTTGATATCCAGATGTTTTTCTTAAAGGATGAATGGTACTTGAGTGTATTGAAATCAACCATGATTGACAGGGCACACCCCAGCCTTTCTATATGATTTCAGGAGTTCTTGGATCACAGCAAGAATCTGATCCTTGTATACAGAAGGAAACTGAGGTCCAGAGAGGGGAAGTGTTGCCCCAATGTCACACAGCAGGTTGGGACCAAAACAGTAGCCCCATTTCAGACTCCCATTCCAACATTTTTCCCATGCAGGATGAACTGACAGTTGTTGTTGCTGATAGGTGGGGGACCAACCTTGGACCTGTGCTTCCTGGTGGCCCTCATCCACTGGAACAACCCTCTACTGAGCTTTGTGGCACTGAGCTGGGCATCAAGGGCCTGGACTCTGGACCTCTCTTTGCCACTAACAGGCTGGTGAACTTGAGCAAGTCATCCAGCCTCTCTGGATCTCAGTGCTAATCTTCATTGATGAAGAGTGAGGGCGAGATTGAATGTTCTCCAAATTTCCCCAAGGCACCTGTGTCTTGCAGTTGTGTGGGTGGAAGCAATCATCAAAGAGTAATATTATTTGTAATGCCTCATTAATCAACTAAACCTGTGTAAATCACTAGCTACCAGCATACAGATGGGCCATAGCATAGCCACCTTCATCTCCCACCCTGAGGCGTGTAGATTTAAGAAGCCCCACCTCAGGGGCGGTTCACTTTGCCAAGGAAGAGGATGTCATTATCCACAATGAACATCAGAAAAGGCCTGTTGAACACTATCTTCTGAGAGCTCAGGCGGGCCGACCTGAACATGAAGATTGTCCCCGTGGCTGCCGCTGCTCTGGTTCCCGACTCATCCACCTCCACCACAGCTTTGTGCACCATCTGCAGGGGAGACACCAGGCATCACCAGGCCACCAGGGGTGGGTGAAGCCATCATGTCAAATGGCAAAGCTTCTGCCTATGGGCATCACCCTCTAAGTATCTGTTCAACTGAGCCATGGAGCAAGTAGGAAATGGAACAATGGAGCAGCTACTCTGCCCCAGGCACTGTGCTGGGAGGTGACGTCTCATGTGTCTGTCATTGAATTCTCATGACATCTTGGAGCAAGGTGTAATTCTTCAATTTTATAGAAGAGAGAAAGGAGGCTCAGAGAGTCAGGTATTTTTGGAGATCACACAGCTAGTAAGTGCCTTCTTAGTTTTGATTGTTTAAAACAGGACTCCTTAACTCAAGGAACAGTGGGGGATATGGCTTCCCATTACATGAAGGATAAGACATAAAGTGAAACTTTTGCTTCGTGGGGGAAAAGAGAGGGAGAGGGAGAGGGAGAGAATAGAATAGAATAGAATAGAATAGAATAGAATAGAATAGAATAGAATAGAGGAGTGGAGTGCAGTGGAGTGCAAGGAGAGTGGAATAGAATAGTAGAGAGTGAAGTGGAGTGGACTGGAATGGAATGGAAGAGAATAGAGTAGAATGGAATGGAATAGAATGGAATGGAATGGAATAGAATAGAATAGAATAGAATAGAATAGAATAGAATGGAGTGGAGTGGAGTGGAGTAGAGGAGTGGAGTGGAGGAGTGGAATGGAGTGGAGTGGAAGAGTGGAGTGGAAGAGTGCAGGAGTGGAGGAGTGGAGTGAAGTGGAATAGAATAGAATAGAATGGAGTAGAGTGGAATGGAATGGGATGGAAGGCAATGGAGTGGAGTAGAGTGGAATGGAATAGAGTGAACTGGAGTGGAGTGGAGTGGAGGAGAGGAGTGGAAGAGTGGAGTGGAGGAATGGAGTGGAGGAATGGAGGAGTGGAGTGGAGTGCAATGGAATAGAATAGAATGGAGTAGGGTGGAGTGGAGTGTAATGGAGTAGATAGAATGGAGAGTGGAATGGAATGGATGGAATGGAGTGGAGGAGAATGGAATAGAGGATGGATGGAAGTGGAGTGGAGTGTGGTAGTGAAATGGAATAGATGATGGAGGAGTGGAATGGAATGGAATGGAGTGGAGTGGAGTGAAATGGAATAGAGTGAACTGGAGTGGAATGGAGTGGAGTGGAGGAGTGGAGTGGAATGGAATGGAATAGAGTGAACTGGAGTGTAGTGGAGTGGAGTGGAAGAGTGGAGTGTAGTGGAATGGAATAGAATAGAATGGAGCAGAGTGGAATGGAATGGGATGGAATGGAATGGAGTAGAGTGGAGTGGAATAGAAGAGAGTGAACTAGAGTGGAGTGGTGGAGTGGAGTGGAGTGGATTGGAGGAGTGGAGTGGAGGAGTGGAGTGGAGTGGAAGAGTGGAGTGGAGTGGATTGGAGGAGTGGAGTGGAGGAGTGGAGTGGAGTGGAAGAGGGGAGTGGAGGACTGGAGTGGTGTGGAGGAGTGGAATGGAGGAGTGGAGTGGAGTGGAGAAGTGGAATGGAGGAGTGAAGTGGAGGACTGGAGTGGAGTGGAGGAGTGGAGTGGAGTAGTAGAGTGGAGGACTGGAGTGGAGTGGAGGAGTGGAATGGAGGAGTGGAGGAAAGGAGTGGAGGAGAGGAGTGGAGTGGAGTGGAATGGAGGAGTGGAGTAGAGTGGAGGAGTGGAGTGGAAGAGTGGAGTGGAGGACTGGAGTGGAGGAGTGGAATGAAGGAGTGGAGGAGTGGAGTGGAGTGGAGGAGTAGAGTGGAGGAGAGGAGTGGAGTGGAGAAGTGGAGTGGAGTGGAGGAGTGGAGTGGAGTGGAGGAGTGGAGTGGAGGAGTGGAGAGGAGTGGAGTGGAGGTGTGGAGTGGAGGAGTAGAGTGGAGTGGAGGAGTGGAGTAGAATGGAATAGAGTCAACTGGAGTGGAGTGGAGTGGAATGGAATGGAATGGAATGGAATAAAATGGGGTAGAGTGGAATAGAAAGAATAGAATAGAATAGAATAGAATAGAATAGAATAGAATAGAATAGAATAGAATATCTTGGAAAGTGGATGCATAGGAGCTTCTGAACCCACCTCAGACACCTGGATATTAGTGTGGTTACTGATGCCGGACAGGTCAGCGTGGGAGGTGAAGACATTACTGATCCCCAGCTTGGGAAGGATTTTATCCAGCTGATAGGAGCCCTCAATGGAGAATTTGGGAAGGTAAAGCTCGAGCTGCCTAGAAAAGGAAAAAGAGTTTTCTTAGACTGCTCTAGGGCACTGGCACACTGAGCTTCACCCCTTGGCTTCATAATGCACTGGATTCTTAGTTTTGATGCTTTATAAAAAGGACTCCTTAACCCAAGGAACAATGGTGGTTATGGATCCTCTGGCCTCTTGTCTAGGATGAGCCTCCCCTTGCTCTGGACTTGGACATGGGCTGCCCCAGAGGTCTCTGCCCACTCTGGCACCACCCTAAGGAACCCAGCTTCCAGCCCTTGTCCCTCCAACTGGGCTAGGACCCCAGGACCTGGATGTCACAGGATGCCTCTGGGCTTGAAGGCAGCTCCTTGGCTGGGTGAGTCCTTCCCACCAGTGCTGTGTGGCCCTGGTAGGGCGTGTGTGTCTCCCTGGGGCTGTATGGAGTTAGGCTGGCCCTGGGGTAGTCTGAACGTACCTCTTTTTGAACATCTTAAGCCACTTCCTCAGTGTTTTCTCGCTCAGTCCATTCTCCACCTGCTGCATCTTTCCCTCACTGGGGAGAATGAACAAAGCCGTGGCATTGCCTTGGTAGGGGACCCCCACCACCCTGCAGGAGAGGTTCCGGTCCAGGAGGTAGTGATACTGGTCCTCGCGGCTCATCATGGGTACCCGCACCACAGTCTCCGGGGTCACGTAGAAGTCTTGCTCTTGGGTGCCTTTGTGGTTGAAGCTTGTCTCCCACTTAGCTAAAGATGAAAAGAAAGAAAAATGAAAAAGAATTTTGTGGAAGAATTAGAAATTCTCAGCTGCAAATAAAAGGAGTGAAGACAGTAAAGATAGCCAGCAGAGACCATCTTTATGGCAGCCTCAGAGCAGTGACTGTTGAACCTCTTGAATGTCAAGGCAAGTCCTTTTATAACACTGGGCCCATTCTCGGACTTTTCATAGGGCTTTTCCTTCCACATCTGCAAAACAAGGAGGTTGGTTTTCACATCTTCAGAGGCCCTGGACCCCTAATGTTCTTTGATTCTCTAACGTTTTACTCAAAGCCAAATCTCCAAGTGAAGAGGGTAAAAAATGTGGCTGGCCATGAATGCTACCTGATATCTGGGTGAGCTTCTCTGTTTGCACTTTCTTCCCAATATTTTAATTTAAGTTTTAGAGAGAAGTTCGTATGGATCCTGGAAACGAATGCTTTTTCCCATTGGGAAGTCTTCAATGACCCTTCTCTTACCTTCCTATGGAAACTTCTGAACAAAATGCTACAAGTGATTGCTTCCAACTTCTTTTTATTTTATTTTATTTTATTTTATTTTATTTATTTATTTGAGATGGAGTCTCGTTCTGTAACCTAGGCTGGAATTCAGTGGCACAATTTTGGCTCTCTACAGCCCCCACCTCCCAGGTTCAAGCGATTCTCCTGCCTCAGCCTCCCAAGTAGCTGGAATTACAGGCGCCCATCACCACGCCTGGCTAATTTCTGTAATTTTTAAGTAGAGACGGGGTTTCACTATGTTGGCCAGGCTGGTCTCGAACTCCTGACTTCAGGTGAGCTGCCCATCTCGGCCTCCTAAAGTGTTGGGATTACAGGCATGAGCCACCACGCCTGGCCTGTTTCCAACTTCTTCATTGTTATCAAAGGAAGACCCCATCCAATACCGTCCTTAGCTTATTTCCCAGTTGTCCTCAGCAATCTGGTGTAATGGGGACCGCCCTGCACCAGGGGATAGGAAATCTCAGAGTCCAAGTTCGACACTCACTGCTGCGGTCTCAATGTGTGTGTCCCCACATTGTTCATATGTTGAAACCTAACCCTGAGGTGGTGGTATTAGGACGGGGGGCCTTTGGGAGTTGATTAGTTCGTAGGGGTAGAGCTGTCATGAACAGGATCGCTGTCCTTACAAAAGAGACCACAGAGAGCTGCCTTGCTCCTTCGAGCAAGGACATACTGAGAAGACACCGTCATGAACCAAGGAACGGGCACTGCATCTGCCAGTGCCTTGATCCTGGACTTCTCAGCCTCCAGAACTATGAGAAATAAATGTTTGTTGTTGCTAAGCCACCCAGTTTACGGTATTTTGTTATAGCCACCCAAATGGCCAAAGATACGATCTGTGACCACAGGAAGGGGAGGTGTTAACAATTTGCCTTCCTTCCCAACCCTTCCCACTCTCTCCTCTCCTCTCTTCTCCTCTCTATCCACTCTTGCTTTCTTCAGGGTCAGCACCTGGCAGGAGCTGCAGACGCGAACAGAAATGCTTACAAGGAGTGTCGGGGAGATAAGCAGAGGTCAGCTCTTACTGAGGAGTCCAGAGGAGGCATTTCAGAGGAAGAAGCATTTGTCTGAGGGAGTCTTGGCCTCTATGAGGGCAGAGGGGCCAGGATCTGGGGCATATGGGGGACTGGGAAATGCCCTCTAAGCCCTTCTGGGGTCCGTATCCTGCCCTGAGTGGCTGAGATGTTGGTGTCTTTGTTATGGTGGCCACAATGGGTTCATGCTTCAGAGCCTGTATGAAAACTGGGGCTTCAGATGATCCCAGGGGCCCAAAGACAGCAGTCAGTTCTTCCTCCATAGAGGAAACAGCATCTCAGGCTCACTAACCCCATCCACAGAGAGAAGGCACTCATCTTGCCTTCTCTGGCTACTTGTTTACTTAATTTTTCTCAGCAGGCACCCAAAATAACTTAATCTACTCCCCGTCCTTTATGTATGTGAGGGAATTGGGAATTCTTTAGAAAAAAGCAGCAGAAAAGCCAGAGAAAGCACAGGTTTGGGCCCAAGGTCCTTACCTTTAAAGAAGATGTAATTCACCATGACCATGACTGCGTTGCTGTCGAGGTTCTTAAGCAAGTCCACAATCTTGCCCTTCGTTTGCTTTGCCACATAATCATTGATCTGCTTCAGGGCTCCCGCAGAGTCCCCAAAGTTGGTGGGGAAAGAGTCTGCCAGGTACAGCGTCTTCATGGCACTCATGAAGGTGTCCTGCACGTCCACCACCAGGTCGGTGAAAAGGGCATTGCCGAGGCTCAGCTGGAAGCCATCTCGGGGCTGGTTGAGCTCCTGCAGGAGCTGCTGAAAGCCTCTGTGCAGCTGCTCCTCTGAGCTTTTCTGGAGGTCGAGGCCCAGGCCCTCCAGGATCTGCCTCTTTGTGCTGGACCCAGCCCCCAGGGAGAGCATGGCCAGGCTCACGGAGATGCTCACAGGGGAGAAGAAGACGTTCTGGCTGGGGGCAGCAGAAGCCAAGGCCCTGTAGAGGTCGAACGTAAAGTCCCTTCTGCTGCTGGGGGCCACCGTGGCACCTACATGGAGGTCCTTGACTCTCTTCTTCGTCTCCCGGGGGTGGTGGCGGTGAAGGGAGGCCTCCTGAGGGCTGAGAAGCACCAGGCACAAGAGGAGGAAGAGCTGCATGGCGGCTGTTCTTTGTTCTGAAAGGGAAAGAAGGTGTCCTCAGAGAGGGTTGGGGCTGGTCCAGGCACTGACTTTCCAGAGATGTCCCCACCCAACACTCAATGGGTGGGTTTGGTCCATTCAGCTTCAAAGAGAAGGGATGGCACCCCCGAGACTGAGGATGAGGGTTTACACAGGGCAGCAGTGGCTCGAGGACAAAGATTTAGGGACAATGGGGAGAGGAAGGAGGGAGAGGAGGTGCAGACCGAAGGCAGAGGCCCGGCTGCCAAGGCAGGAACCCTCCCCGCCCATCCACATCAAGGGACACATTTTGGAGGATGGGACATGGAGGGAGAGGATTCCCCCTGCTCTGCTTTGTCTCATCAGCATCTCGAGGTTACCAGGGAACTAAGCTGCTTCCATGTGAGCTTCTGGCCTTCACTCTGGTGTCCTGGTTTGGCACATGGCAGGGCCCTGTGGTCCTTCTATGAACTCAGACCAGTTACGCGCCTGGGGCCATCAGCACTGCTGGCCTTGCCCTGTTCATTCAGCACACATGGAGTGAGCATCCTCCCCGGGGTAGGCAGGATACCAGGATGCCAACTGTCCCTTTCTCCTTCCCCCAGGGGCTGCTCCATGCCACCCTTGTCTCACAGAGGAACACCTTCTCCTCCTAAGGGAATTCTGCCTGCCCTCTTCATGTAAGCATCTCCACCGTCCTCCTGTTCTGGGCTGAATTGTGCCCCCCAAAATGCATATGCTGAAGTCCTAACCTTCAATACCCCAGAATGTGACTATATTTAGAGATAGGGCTTTTAAAGAGGGGACTGAGTTAGAATGAGGTCACTAGAGTGGGCCCTAACCCAGTATGACTATGTCCTTACACAAAAATTAAAAAGAGATCAGGAGAGAGACACGCACAGAGGGAAGACCAGGTGAAGACAGTAAGAAGGCAGCCACCTGTGAGCCAAGAAGAAGGGCCATGGAAGGAACAAATCCTGCCGGTGCCTAAGCCTCAGACTTCCAGCTTCCGGAGTTGTAAAGAAAGAAATTTCTGTTGTTGAAGCCCCCTAGCCTGTGAGACTTTGTGACGGCAGCCCATGCAGGCAAAGACATCTCTTCATCTTCTAGACGAGGAGGCATTCATCTCTGACTCTAGAGCTTCTCAGGGGGACCTTTGTGGGGTCTCCCATCACTCCTGACGTGGCCTTTGCCTTCAGTCTCCTCTTCCTCCCTCCACTTCACCCAGGAGCTGTTTCTGTGTCCATGCTTCCCCATCTGGCTACGGGTAGAAGTCTTGCCTCCTCCCTCCGCAGTAGGAAACAGCCCAGGCTCTGAAGCCGCTGCCAGGGTTCAGATCTCAGCCCTGCTGTCTCCTTGCAGTGAGATTTTGGGCAAGTCAGTTACACACTGAGCCACTCTCCATAACTGTAAGACAGTGATGATAGCAGCACCTACACCACGGGGTGCTTGGGGGCACGTGCTGTGGAAGGATGAGCAGTAGGCATGGCAGTTTCTGGCAAAAGCCCCATCTGAGGCCCCCATATTCTCAACTGTATCATAGGGTACATGCTTCACACACACCCACACACAAACACAAACACACACACTTGTGAGCCTGGCAGCACCCGGGGCAGCTAATTATCAGGTGCAGAGGGCCTGCCTGGCTTGTGATGTGAGCTTTGCCCTGTGTGTCACCTTGGAGGGAATCCCTTTCTGCTGGGCTCTGTCTATGGGCACAATGTCATCGGGGCTCCCAGATCCCCACCAGGCAGGGGCAGCCTGTCACAGCATCCCGTGACCCAAATAAAACGAAACTCCAAAGGGCCCCAAACAGCTGCGTGGGAAATCGCTTGCAGAGTGGCCCTGGGGCTCAGCAGTGGAGAGAGAATGGTCTCAGGAATTGGGCAGGCTTGGACTGCAGGCCTGTCTTTAAGTGAAGCTGAATAACTCCAGCAGGGCACCCTTGCCAGTCCAGCCTCCAAATTGCGCCTTGAGCTCCCTCTGAGAAGGAGGCTCATGTAGAAGGTTCTGCCTGCAGAACCGAACCTGGCACCGAACCCAGCAGCCGTAGCAGTTGGGCGCATTGTCCTCACCCTTTTTCAGGCACTGTGCCAACCCCTTCAGCCCCACACCACCCAGAAAGGTATGTCTTGCTGCTAGCTCTATTTTACAGATGGGTAATCCGAGGTTAGAGAGATGGAGTCTCCTGCTAACATTAGCAAAGCCTGGACTCAGGCCCGGTTACCACTCTGCCTCTACAGAGTCCTGCCTCCTCCGTTCCTGTGCTGCATCTTCCTGATTTTGAAATCCCTGACTTAGTAGCCACTAACAATAGCCCTAATCTGCAGATAATGAGTGAGCAGAGTCTGGGCTTCCCCCTGCTGACACTCCCTACCTGTTCCCACCATGGCACTTGCCTGGAGAGCTCTGAAGGACATGAGTGGGTGGTTTAATCTCTGGCTCCTCTAAATGAGTCTATTTGGCAGCACAATATGGTCCCTCCTGCCAAGTGTTGGAACCAGCCATGTATGGAGATGCTCCTAAAGAAACAATGTGGCTCAACCCCCCACAGAGTCACACTGAGCTGATAATTTCGAGAACAGTTTCAGAAGCAGGGAAGTTTCCTTCTTGGATAGAGCCCAGAGGCAGCTGACCATAGAGTCCCAGTGAGGCCCTGGCCTCCATTCTCTCATCTATGCAACTGCTAGGTCACCCTGGGCAAGGCTCACCCTTTCTGGGCCTCAGTTTCTTCATCTGCAGTCTGCGTGTGCTGTGGACATCCCTTCAGGACCCCCGCCCCCTGCCAAGCACTAGAGATCCGATGGGGAGGAGCTGCTTCTCGGGGTGCCTTTATATATGCACTGAGTCTCCCCCAGGGTCTGTTTGGAGAGGGCCCCAGGTTCACTTAGGCTCTCCTGGGCTATACGTTTGAGACCCAGAAATCTTGCTGCCTCTGGGCCCACTGTCTCTATCTTTTAGTAAACCCACTAATTATTAAAGACCTACTAAACACTCCATAAATATTACTATGTTTAGCCTTCACCAAAAGTAAGCTCTCTATTTTACAGAGTTTTCCAAAAGTAAACTCACTCTGTTTTACAGATTGAATAGACTGAGGCTAAGTGAAATGGAAAAGCTTGTTCCAGTTACTGAGTGATGGAACTAGAATTAAAATCCAGGTTCCTCTGACTCGTGCACAGTCTATCTCTGAGTGGCTCTGAGGAGTGATACCTCGTTCCTCCTCGACCTCACCTCCTGGTATCCTCAGGCGGTTCACCCGTATTAGCCCATTTATACTTCTCCACAGTAACATGGAGGTGGTATCATTATCCTAACAGTGCAAAAGAAGAAACAGAGGATCAGAGAGGTGGCTCCAAGAGGCAGTAGAGTCCTCAGCGCTTGTTTTACGTTTCTTAGTTTCAAAGCCCCGGGTTTGCCATCACACTCTTGGGCCTCTGGTGGAAATATATGGCTTTGACAGAGACAGGTGAAGCCCTGGTAGCCTCCCATCCCCCAGACCAGCCTCCACCGAGTGCCTTGAGAGCCTGGTCGGGCTGCCCCTCTCCTGGTCCCTGGCTTTAGTGTTTCTGCAGAGGGAAGAGAGGGGATCAGTCAAGTTCATCTGTCATCTCAGGCCAAGGTGAATTGAGGTGGCAGGTGCTGGGGATGTGATGGGTGGGCCTTGGTCAGCCCTCCCGCTGGCCCCCACCATCCATGAAGCCCAAATCTGCTGACTGATATTTCCTGTGTTGGGCAATGAAGTCATGCCCAGTTCTGCCCTGGACTAAGCTGTGGGAACTGTGTTAGTGAGGAGGGTCTGTCCAATATCTTCTAATTACAAAGAGGGATGTGAGGCTTGGAGCCCAGGCAGAGATGAGAGACAAAGTCACAGCTTCCTCTACATCCTAAAGACCCAGGAACAGAACTTCCCAGAAGAAGTAATCTTGACTTCCTGTTACTCCAGCCCACCCGCAAGGCTTGTCAGTTCTAGCTCCAAAACAGGTCTTAAAACTGCCGCGCCTCCCTGGCTTTCTCACTGCCCCCAATGGAATCTCCCACCATCTTCCCCCGGGCTACCCCAGTAGCTTCCTTTCTTTGCCCTGCAAGCCTTTCTATATACAGCATATAAAAGAATCTCCTTCAATCATAAATATGGTCACAGCACTTCCTCGCCTAAGAAACTCATGGCCAACTCCTGTGTTTCGGATAAATGCTAACTTTGATCTGTGCTCTAACCCACGAGGGCTTCTGTGATCTGACTCTACCTGGCCTGGACCTGCTCTGCCCTGGATCACAAGATACCCCCAGGCTCACTTTTCCCAGTTTCTCAAATGCAGCAAGTTCTGTCCTAACCCTGGGCCTTTGCACACCTTCCCTCTCTACTGGAACCCTCCCCTGACCTTTCTCACCAAGGCCAACTTCTGCACAGGCTGCAGGCCTTTGCTTAAATGTCACTTCTTTGCAATACCTTATCACACTGGACCTTTTCCCCTTCCACAGCTATTCTCTGGAACGGTGCCTTGACTGTTTCTCTCAAAGCTCCTTCAATTACACATATGCCTTTATATATGCATTTGTCATTGACATTTTTCATCCCAGCCTCTCTCTGCATGGGACCCTCATCTGTGCTGCTCTCACCTTCAGGAACTTGCAGTCATGAGAGATGCTCCATACACCTTTGTAGAACGAATGAATGAATGAATGAACTGACCCCTGTCTCCTTTTCTGTAATTCAGAGACATCAGACTGCAAGTTGGACACTGAGCAGTGGAAAAAGCCAGGCTAGCCACCCAGAGCTGAGCTCTTTCCGCCCCGGGGCTCACTTGCCAGGTGACCTTGAACAGCTCCCTCCCTGTCTCTCGGCTCTGGCTTCCTTTTATTTCTTTATTAAAACCGCTTGATTGAGACATGACTGCTATTCACAAAGTTGCACATTTTTAATGTCTACAACCTGACAAGTTTGGAGATGAGTCTACATCTGTCACTTATCATCACCGTCAACACCATGAACACGTCCGTCACCACTAGGCATCTGCCGCCTGTATTCTTCATGCTTCGGTTTCCTGATCTACGAGCAAGGACACTGGCCCAAGGAAGTGGTTTCCCCTTTTATTGCTGCGTATCTGGCCAAAAGCCCTACCCTCAGAAAAACAAAAAATTCTGCTTACTTTATTTTTACATTTTGTTCATTTAACAAACTGCCAAATGGTTACTGTCTCTCATGAGCAGCTGCCACGATCGGCCTGGGTGGCAGCCTCCAGGCAAGATGCCCTTATCTCAGGGAAGCAGATAACATTAGATCATTGTTCCTCATTTCCAAAGGCCCAAGACTCCAGGCACAGAAAACAACAGAAGCTGCCATTTACTGAGCACTTCCTATCCAGCTGACATTTTGTCCCCACAGCCTTATTTCAGGGTCTCTCAACCTTGATCCTGTTGACCTTTTCAACAGGATGATGCTTTGTGATCTTGTCCTGGGCATTGTGGGATCATCAGCAGCATCGCTGGCCTCTAGATGCCACTAACCCCCATCCCCCTTCCAGTTGTGGCAACCAAATGTGTCTGCAGACACGGCCAGATGTGCTGAGTGAGAGCACCCGCTGTATTTAATCTTCAGTCACACCATCCAAAGGGTATAATTATTTCCATCTTACCTATGAGGAAACAGAGGCTCTGCCAGAGTTAGTGTGGAGCATAAGGTCACGGAGCTCAGGGGACCCACTCACCTCTGCTGCCTTGGATACCTGAAACTGCAGAGGTGAGACTCCTTCAGAGCTTTGCAGCCCCCAAACCCCGAAACTCTAGAGTCCATCCTTTCCTCGCCTCACATGCCCTCAACCCCCGGGACCTCCCGTTGAGGCATCTGTACTTACCGTGTCCTGTAGCCAAGCGTGCACACAGTGGAGGTGGCAGTCCCTCGGGCTCAGGAAAGGGCAGAGGGCTGGCTGGATTGCAGCCAGCATTTGTCACTGACCACAGCCGGCCCTGTCTCCACCCCTCCCTAGCCCCGCCCCAGGCCAGCCCTTTCCTTTCCTGGCAGGTTTCCAGCCAGCAGGCCTGCCTGCAGACGCAGCTGCCTGCTCCAGAGGCTTTGACCACGATGCACACTCGCTGTCCCCCAAGACTTACGCCACCAACCAGGCCACCATTTGCCTGGAATGGCATGGGCACTCCTGAGAGACAAGACCAAAGAGCCTGTCCGTTGTTGGTATTCCAGAGACAGGGAAAGGGACAGCTCCAGCAAACCCTCTCTTTTTCCAGGCACTGTTTCTTGGTTTTCTACAGCGAATTTCTTGTAGATTAGTGGGGGCGTAGGCTTGAGCCTGAGAGCTCCCCACAGGCCTGCGATGCTGACTGGGTCATAGATCCCAACAGCTGGATTCTAGTGGGAATGGGAGGGATTGAGAGTCCTACCATGCCTGCAATGAATGGGTCGCTGTAGCCAAGCCTGTGATTGCACCAATCACTGAATTGGGGCTCTGAAGAATGAAGGGAATTCTCAAAGTCACGCATTTAATTAGGGGCAGAGCGGGGCTGGTGCCCAGGTGGCTGACTCTCAAGCCAGTGCTTGTTGCTGAGAAAGGAGCTGCATTCAGGATTTCTATGGGCTTGGGTGCATTCTCCCTTTCTACTTTGAAATCCGGGTTCCCTAACTCAGCCACACACTCTTAAGAGTATTTCCAAGACAGCGGTGCAGGGTGCTGTCTCAAACCTGGTTATGTTTCAAGGTCCCCATGCCTGGGGGACACGGTGTGTTCTGTATGGCCGTGATCATGGAAGGTTGTGTGGCTGCAGGTGGGGTGTGGAGCTGGTAGAGCAAATCGGAGGTAATACCTGGAAAGTGATCTTGATGTTCAGCAAACACTGCCCATCAACCTTTAAGACATTTCCTCTTCCTTCTTCATGGTTTTGGGACCCAATTATGGGGCTGCTGGATATCCACAGAAATAATAAGAACTAGTATTTATCCACACTTTTAAAAAGACCACGTATTACACCAAGTGCTTTACACACATTATGTCTTTTCATCCTTACAACAATCCTTCAAGGGAGACACTGATCTCAGCCCAGTCTAGAGATGAGCACTGGGTATCTAGAGCCAAGTCCAACTATGACTACATCTCTAGAAGCATGCACAGTACTACTGGGTATCTAGAGGAAACACAATCACTACCGGGTATCTAAAGCCAGGTATGATCACTGCCACGTATCCAGAAGCAGGTGGGATTGCTACTGTAGGATATCCAGAAGCAGGCAGGATCGCTACTGGGTATCCAGAGGCAAGTCCTACTACTACTAGGTATCTAGCCCTTAGTTTTTGCTCAGTGCCCTCACAGTTCATTCCTGTTGAATTGGAGAGAATACAGAACCGAGCAGGTCAGGGAATCAGCCCCAAATCCCACAGTTAAAAACAGGAGGCTCTAAGAAGGGAAGCTGAGTCCCCTCTTTTTAGGGTTGGCTTTCTTCCCATTACGCCATGTAACATGAGCAAGAGTCCATTATCTCATTGACCTAGAGATCCCTAAACCATACCTATAGGATGGAAATCAGCACCGCATACCAGTTATAGGTAGGTAATGGAACCCCAAAGATATCTGTGTCCTAATACCTAGGACCTGTGAATGTTATCTTCTATGACAAAAGGGACTTTGCAGATGTCATTAAGTTAAGGATCTTGAAGAGATTGTCGTGGATTATCCAGCTGGGTCCTAATTACAATCGTTAGGATCCTTGCAAGAAAGAGGCAGGAGATTGGAGTCAGAAGAAGGTGATGTGATGGTGGAAGCAGGAGAGGAAAAGTCAACGTGATGTCGGAGCCAGGTGCTGAGGAGTGAGGAAGCTTCTGGAAGCTGGAGAAGGCGAGGAATGGATCCTCCCCTAGAGTCTCCCAGAAAGAGTGGAGCCCTGCCAATATCTTCATTCTAGCCCAGTGAATTTTGTGTTGTCTGAGCCACTGTTTGTGATAACTTCTTAGAGCAGCCATCAGAAACTAGGGCAACACCCCCCAAATGGGTTCCAGATGAAACTACTTTGGGAAAGGTGGGCTAACCAAGGTCCTGTGGGCCGTCTCCAGCCTGTGTGTGCTGTCTGTGCTCTGACCACCCAGGAGGGAAAGACATCACGTGCCGTTTCCCAAGCTTACACCGGAAGGAATGTCTTGAGAATTTGGGGGAAAGTCTGAGGTAACTCATGACTCCCACGGTCACACGGAAAGGACTCTGAAGGAATCAGGACTGAGAGGGGTGAGTTTTGAAAGGAGAGATTTGGAAGGGGTCTCAGGGGCATGGCATCCCAGTCTGTCAGTCTTCTCTGGCTGCTGTAACAAAATACCTCACGCTGGCCTGGGTTAAACACACACTGGCTTAAACAATAGAAATGTATTTTCTTACAGTTCTGGAGGCTGGAAATTAAAGCTCAAGGTGCTGTCAGGGTTGGTCTCCGGTGAAGGCTCTCTGCCTGTCTTGTAGATGGTTGCCTTCACTGTCCTCCCAGGGCCTCTTCCCGGTGAGCCCACACTGGACACACACATACATGCACACACACACACACACACACCAAGAGAGGGAGTGGACAGAGGGAGAGAGTGAGCTCTCTGGTTTCTCTTCCTCTTCTTAAAAGGACACCAGTCTTACCAGATTAGAGTGCCACCTTATAACCTTGTTTAACTTTAATTACTCCCTAAATGTTCAATCTCTACAAACAGTCATAACAAGTCCTATAAGCTAGGACTTCAACATAAGAAATTGCGGGAGATGCAATTCAGTCCATAACACCCAGGGTGCTTGCATAGGGGGAGCCAGTGGCCAGAATATGAGACTTTGGTGTCCTAGAGCCTAGCAGGGCATGGGAAGGGATCAAAGTGGGGAGGTGATTTCTGGGAGAAGGGCTGAGAAACCAACGCTGGCCCCTGTGATGCCTTGCCCTGCTGAGCACAGGTGGTCCTCTGCTTGGCCCTCAGCCTCCTTGCCCTCTGTTCCATGGTACTGGGCCTCATGGGGATTGAGTGAGACCAGTTCAAGGGCCTACAAGATGTCACTCAGGGCCTGGCTGATGCTTCTGCTCTGAAGTGGGGCACTGGTCTTAATCACTAGTAGGGTGACCAACCATTCCAATTTGCCTGGGACTGAGGAATTTCTGATGGTGTGGGATATTCAGTGCTAAAACTGGCAAAGACCTTGGCAAACTGGGATGGTTTGGCTACCTGAGTTATTAGGCTCTTCCCTTGTTCTGGGATCCAGCCTCTAGCTCCTGATCTAGGCCTTGTGTCTTAATAACTTTCCCATTTTTCTAGTCTTCTCAGTCTTTGTGGGGCTGTCAATCTTGCCTTAAACATCTGCTATGATCCTTCTATAATCAACCACCATGCTTCCCTCTGCCCATCATCTGCCTGCCTGCATGAGCTAAAACATACTGGTACTACCTTTCCCCTTCCTTCCTTCCTTCCTTCCTTCCTTCCTTCCTTCCTTCCTTCCTTCCTTCCTTCCATTCACCCATCCATCCACCCATTTATTCATACATTCTTCCATCCATCCATCCATCCATCCATCCATCCATCCATCCATTCATACATCTACCCACCCATCTATCCATTTTTCCATCCATCCATCCATCCATCCATCCATCCATCTATCCATCCATCCATCCATCCATTTATCCTTATAGCCTTCCATGCATCCTTCCTTCATTTCATCCCTCCAATATCAATGTTTATTGAGCTCTAACCATGTCCCAGAAAATACCCCTGGCCTCAAGAAAAGAGATCAATATCTCAATAGATGAACTAAAGACAGAGCGTCAATGCTCTGACACATGTCTCCACAGTAAAGACACACAGGGAGGCATAGTCCATTCTCCCGTGGTTGGAGAGAGGAATGGAATAGGAAAAACTTTGTGAAGTTGGTGACCTTGGATCTGGGTTTTTGAATCTTGTCTAGGTTTTTATCAGCCCTGGCTGGGTGGAGAGAAGTGAACAGACAGAAGAGCTTATAGCACAGCAGCGGGAGGCTGCATTTTGGGCTGAGAGAACCACAGGAGTGATAGCAGTACAGCCTGAGGGGGTGGTGGGGCACCGGGAGCCTGTCAGAGAGGAGGAGGGGAGGACAGAGAGAAGCCAGATCAGGGCCAGATGAGGGGCTTGGAAGTCCTGCTGGGCTGGGAACCAGGGATGAACTTCTTTCTGTAAGAGAAGGAAGGAGGAATTATCTTGGGCTGTCATGGGTATGGTTGCCTGGAGATCAAGACAGGACCAAGTGACACTGTTGTGGTAATCCAGGTGAGAGATGACGGTGGTGTGTGCCAAGGCACCAAGGGTGAGGCTGGAGAGGAGGAGACACATTAAGGAAGGAGAATGGACCTGGTGTCAGCTGAGGGGTAGGTTTTGGAAACCTGTATGGAGGATGATGAGTTCAGTTTTGGACCTAGTGAGCCTGAAGGGCCTGTGGTGCCTACTGGCAGAGATGACACAGGTGAATGGGTCTAAAGAGAGATTTGGAGGCAAGAACAGAAACAGGAAATAAAGTGAAGGAAGCACCTGGGATCTGGGGGCCTCCTGGGGCAAGGAGAGGACAAGAAAAGAGGATGAAGCATAGAACTCTGAGACCCTCAGCATAAGCCTGAGCAGAGAGAGAGGGAGCTCACAAAGGTGGTGATGGCCGGGAAGGAGGAGGACCAGGGCAGATAACAAGGGAGGACAAGGGATGCCACTGTCAGTGTCAGATGCAGCAGAACATTCAAGTAGATAAGGATAGTCACTGGTCCACAGAAGCCACCAGGGTGATCTAGTTGGGGAGGTAGGAGCAGGATCCCAGGGCCAGCAGGCTGAGAAGTCAAGGGGATGGTCAAGGCAGATTGCTCCTTGATGAGAAGGCTGGGAAGGAGGTGGGGCAGAGGGAGCTGTGGCTTGGAGGGAGGGATTTCCCAGGTTTGGGGGAAGAACTGAAAGGGAGGTTAAAGGTGATTATTAATGGA